TATATATATATATATATATATATATATATATATATATATATATATACATACATACATACACTCCTGAACAAAATCTTTAAGACCGGGGGAAATATGAAAGAAAGAAAGAAAAGTGAAAGTGAAGTGACATGTGGCCAAGTATGGTGACCCATACTTGGAATTAGTGCTCTGCATTTAACCCATCCAAAGTGCACACACACAGCAGTGAACACACACACACCATGAACACACACCCGGAGCAGTGGGCAGCCATATTGCTGCGGCGCCCGAGGAGCAGTTGGGGGTTCGGTGCCTTGCTCAAGGGTCTCACCTCAGTCGTGGTATTGAGGGTGGAAGAGAGCGCTGGTTATTTTCTCTCCCTACCGACAATTCCAGTCAGACTGATGCTGACTGCAGCCCAGTAACCGTAAGACGGCATCTGCGAGAGAAGGGCTTAAAGAACAAAAAACATCTTCAAAGGCCATGTCTCCTTTCACGCCACAAACTTGCCCATTTGGAATTTGCAAGGGAGCACCAACATGGGACATTGAAAGGTGGAAGAAAGTTTTATTCTCTGACGAGAAAAAATTTAACCTGGTCGGTCCTGATGGCTTCCAACGTTACTGGCATGACAAGGAGATCCCACTGGAGATGTTTTCTACTCGGTGGAGTAGGCTCCATCATGATCTGGGGTGATTTTTTTCTTCAATGGGAACATGGAGTTTCAGATTGTGCAGGGGTGTCAAACGGCAGCTGGCTATTTTGTTCTTTAAGTCCTTCTCTCGCAGATGCCGTCTTATGGTTATTGGGCTGCAGTCAGCATCAGTAAGGGCCTTAATTTTGGGTCGGTCAGATTTTAACTTTTTAAAGCTATGGTCTTAAACTTTTGATCAGCTGATGAAGAGCCTGTTTGAGTTTAAATGCAGTTTTCAATAAATTGCCTACTCTCTATTTTTTGTCTCTTGCTCCTGTTTTTTCTTTTGGCATTTTGAAGCAGTACTTACAACCTGGATATGATCCACCACCACGAAATGCGAATACTTGTAATATTTCCCCCGGTCTAAAGATTTTGTTCAGGAGTGTGTGTGTGTGTATGTATGTATGTATGTATGCATGTGTGTATATATTTATTTATTTTTTTAAATTTAGGAGCATTACAAGATTACCTGACTAACGTGATGAGCCTGCAGTATACTGAAAAACCAGATTACACGCTTCTGAAAGCTGGGCTTCACGAGAGCTTACAGAAGATGGGTGGGAGTCTGAATGAATCACTGAATCTGCAGGTAACACATATTCCTATATTTAAACGACTATTCCTATATTATGATGCCTTTACATGTTGTTTGGAAGATCCTTTTTTCCAATTTTGAGGACGTATTTATGAGTATCACTTTCAAGTGCTTTATGGTCAGCAAGACTAGGTAACACAGTCCTCCAGTGTCCTCATGTATTTAATGCAAAACTGCAACAGCTAACAAGCTAGCTGTAAAAAATATATTGTTCATGTGCAACCTTTAAGTAGGCAACTTGTATTCATGATCGTGACAACAGCATGTGAAGCATTCACAGCATGTGAATCTCGGTCTCACTTGTTTGTTTTTTATTTACAGGTGAAACCATAATCACAAGAGTTAGCAGGTGTGGATTTAATTGTTTTATGGAATGTTTAAGAAAGCTTTTATGTTTTTAAAATCAACTTTTATTGCCGTTTTTACAATGATATTGCTGTGCAGAATTTGCATGTTTTCTCTCATAGGTTGAGTTTTAATCACTGTGATGTATTAGAATTTTTTAAATAAAATGTTTAAAACATTGTTTAGTTTTAAGAGTGACTCTACTTTTTTGTAAACAACAAATCATTTCTTCCTGGTCTTGATACAACCATTAAATTACATTACATGCCATCGGTGGAAATAAAGGTTTTGTTTGTGGAAAAGGACATGTTCATAAAGGGAATTCTTTTTCGTATTTTTCTTTTTCATAAGTTGTATTGTACCTTACTGAAAATAAACAACAGTACCCCAAAATGTACTTATCTTTGTTATTTATGATTATTGTTACCGCAAGGGGGCACCAACGATTCAAATGTATATGACAGTAGCGGAACTCAAATCGCCAGGTGTATTTTTCTACACGGAACGAAAATATAGCATCAATGTTCAATAAGGAGGCGCGAAGACTTTAACGCTTTGATAAACTCGTTTATCGTATTTACACAAGTGGACATTAACAGATACACACCATGAATCCACCAAAGATTAAACGTCGCCGAATGGCTGAGCTGGAGCCGTGGATCGAGAAACTCATCCAAAACTACGGCCAAAGTCAGTGTGAAACGACTGTGAAAGCAAACGTTGTCGGCGTAAGTAGTCGTATATGTGTGATCACCTCTGTAGAGTGTCGTGTGAGTACTGAAGTGCGGGTGTGTGTTTGTTAGGTGTGTGATATCTCAGACTCGCAGCGGATGGAGCACACAGATGCCTGTATGCTGTTCATGTCCGATGGGAGCGCTGTCATTCCCGCGGTGCTGAGCGACGCCGCGTGGGAGCGTCTGCAGGAGTGAGGGACTGATTAAACCTCTGTTATGACACACCACTCACTACACACCTAAGCCCCTGTTTTTATCTAACTCTTCTGGATAGTCGGGCCAAGTCAAAATCACGCTGAAATAACAAGAAGTATAATCTAGCTGTTACAAGGGCTGTGATCTTCTGCATAGAAGCAACTGTTGCCTTGAATTTTGCACCTGCATGAGTGAATTTTAGAGAACAACAGGCACTACTTTTAGTTTAGTGTAATGATGATAATTAAATCAAACTCAAACGTGACTGTCAGAGTTTTGTTCAATGTTTCTTCAGCTCGGAGGAGATGGAGTCTTTCACTGGCCTGCACAACGCTATAGTATATGTACGCAGCTTTGAGCTGAAATTCGACATGAACCCTGATCTGGTATGTTATATGTATGCAATTTTCTTTTTATCCCAAACTCTAAACTTTTTCATTTCAGTGCTGTGGCATTACTAATTGGGGAAAAAATGTCATGCCAATATAGCAGTGGCCTTTTTCAAACCAAGCAGCTATTGGATAGAGACAGAGCAGGGTCACACTAAAATATATTTCATAAATATGGCCTATAATTCATACAGTGGCCTAAACGTTAATATTGTGACCTATTAATGCTGTTAAATACTTATTATAATTGTGCTTATGTTGCAGAAATGTTAAAATATTTTTTGTTGATTTTCAGAGTTAAATTTTAATTTAACTTAATTATTTTTAATGTGGGAGGGTTTGTAAAGCATTTAGCTGAATTTCCGCTTCATGGCAGTATCTGTGTTTGAAAATAGATTAATAATGTATGTTTGTTTTTTGTTTTTTGACTTGTCTGGTCTAGAAACCTCATGTAAATTCATACTTAATCTTAAAATTAAGTAGAAATTAAGAGTCCTGGCTCATGGTCCCACCTCTTTCTTCCATATAATTCCATATTCCATATTACTTCCTGTCTGCTCTGTAGTGCGCTATCCAAATAAAGTTGCAAAATGCAAAAAAAAAAAAGAGAGAGAAATATATGTTTTACTAATATATTTTATTGGGTAGAAATTGTGATTTTTACAATATATAAAAAAAAAAATCCTCATCTTAAATCCTTAGGCTGCTGAATTGAAAACCCTGCATTAAAGCACATTAAAACAAAAACTGATACTACCAAATGAAATTGAAGAAGGTTATTTGAGTGGTGTTGGCTTGTTAATTCCAAACAAAGAAATTGTGTATGTGTTAAGGTGCAGTTACATTTAATATTGTTCAGGCACATTTTTGCAGGTGAAATGCAGTCATTTCAATAGGAATCTGCATAGTTGGGAATTCAGATTTCACAATGGTTTCAAATTGGTCACACAGATTCGCCATATTGACCAACAGAAATCTTCTTGTTTAAAATGGTTTAAAAATGACTTGTGTGAGCTGTGCTTCATACAAAGCTACATTATTGATGATGGACCATTTTGTTCGCAAAATTTTGCCAAACCTTTGCTAATATGGCTGCACCTTTAAATACATGTTTGTGTGGTTCATTTCTTTTTTCTTTGTTTGTTTGTTTGTTTTCAGGCATCTTGCCAGTTTTACTTGAAAGTCAATCAAATGAACATCATATGCATCTCCTCAAAGCACCAACACCCCCCCAGCTGGCAAGTCATTGATCTCTCTAAGCGCACAATGATGTTTCTAATGCACTAAATCATTATCAATTAACCTTTGTTAATCTACTTATCTTTCACTATCTTTCAGTACAACTATCCAATCAGTCAGAGATCAGATCATAAAGACGTGGAGGTGTGTTGACCTTATTTATAGTCTGTGTGAACACGTACATCACACGCAGAACTGCAGTGTGTTTTTAAAATGATGTGTTTAACGGTTCGTGTTAATTGTATTGCTCTCTTTCAGATCCCGCAGGGAGGGTTCAGTCAGTTCAGCCTCTGGTAAGTATCACACACACTCTTTCTCTTTGTTTCTTTGTATAGATTGCATATACACACACCTCTTGCATTGAATGCCTGTAATTTGGATTCTCAATACCATTTATAAAGTGAAGACACATTCCGCTTCACAGAAATGATAAACACCTGCGTTATGTACCTAATTTACCAGGGGTCTCACTCTCATCTCTATTGGACATGTGGCACAATGACATTATAATAAATATTCTGAATGATGCAACGGAGAAAATAACCATGTCTGCAACATATTGTCCAAGTGCGGCGACACCAACTCACTGGCACCGAGAGAGGCTTCACTGGAGGGTAAAGCTGCTTCCTTGGCAACTTAAAGGCACCAGCTGTGGACCAGACAAATTATCATTGTGTATGGGTTTGTGTGTGTGTGTTTTCCAGGGACAGGAGCAGTTCATTGTCCCCGTGCCTTTTCTTCTCATCCCTGTGGAACAGAGGGAGCTGATGACAGCTGATCCCAGTACTGTCTGCTATCTAATTAATTGCTTTTTTCATGACAACCCTTTGGACATTCAACCAGATTTCCTGCATGTGGCGCACTGTGCATATGTGTTTTTGTCTCGTGTGTGCAGTTGCAGATAGTGAGAGTGAGACACCAAATGACTTGGCCCCGCCCCCTGTAGAATCACATCCAACCAGCGTGTCGAGTGCAAACCAAACAATGGCTGCTCAGGACGGTATAAGTGTCTCATGTCCAGATGAAGGACAGTCTACTCTGGTACACACAAGACCAGGTGAGATTTTACAAAAGAAAGTCAGTGCTGTTCCATGTGGATGATGTGTTATTAATCTCATCCCTTCATCTCCCAGAGGTTTTGTGTGGAATGGGGGAGCTGTCTGGGGATGGAGAGAGCCCATGGGATATGTTCACACAAGAGCCGGCTCTATTAGGGAGACGTTCCACCTCAGACTCAAATGGTAATTTCCTATTCATACAAATATTTATTAAAATAACAGGGCATCATTGTAATTGTGCACTAATAATTTCAATCATTACTGTGCTGATACAGACCCAGAACATGAAAGTCAATCGCTTTTAAAGGAAGTCCCCCCGCTGCCTATAGCAACAAGCACCCAAGCCCAGTTCTCAAAGCAGATCTCAGGAGGGATGTCAGTGGATGGCATTACGCTCAGTCAGAAACCAAAACCGACTCAGTTTAGTCCTTCCCACTCGAGCGATAAGTCTTCCAGAGACCCCAGTCAGGAGCAAGACAAAGACTGTGCGCTGAGTCCTCCCTCGTGGCTCGTCCATAATACAGCCCCACCCTCTGAACAGAGGCCCTTAGCGTCTCCACCTGTCGGGCCAATGCCCTCAGTTTCTCCACCCACCAAAGCCAGGAAAGTGAGTGTAAATGATATTAAAGATATTTTGCTGTGTCCGAGCAGGGCAGTGTGGCTGATTGTGTAATATAATATGATTAATGCTTTCTGTGGGACTAACCAAATTAAGAATATATCTAATCCTAATCTATTTGTGCATTGCATCAGAAATGTTGCTACATTGTCCCAGCTTCCCTGTTGCAGGCGCACTCAGATGGAACGCCTTTTTCCTATTTGTATCATCCACAGCCTCAGGTTGCCACAGCCCTCAGCCATTTCCAGTGAGTATGATGTGTTCCCCACTGAGACATGCTGATTATAATACACTTGTAATGTGATGGCCTATTATCTAAGAACTTTGTTTCACAGTTTTGTATTACTGTAATGACACAATACCAGTCAAAATTTTGGATGTATATACAGTATATTACTGACTCCAAACTTTCCACAAAAATATTAAGCAGCAACTGTTTTTAACTTCGAAAATAATCCAACAAGTCGCAGAATTTGTCCGCACACTGAAAATTTTTTCCAATCAGACCAAAAAAGTTCTCTCAAAAATTTAGTTTTTATTATCCATATGCAAAAGTGCAAAGTGTATTAAAAACACACCAAAGAGCAGACGTTTCAGCCCATGCTTTCTTCAGTGCATGAGCAAAACTCAGTGCATTGTGAAAAATTACATTTTTGAGAGACCTTTTTTGGTCTGATTGGAAAACATTTTCAGTGTGCGGACAAATTCAGCGACTTGTTGAACTAAAACTTTCTCCCTTTTGCTCTACGCACCTGAGAACTCATTGTTCTTTTTGAGCGCACACAATTCCGATAACTTAGAAAATAATGAAATGTTTCTCAAGCAGCAAATAAGCATATTAGAATGGTTTCTCAAGGATCATGTGACCCTGAAGATTGAAGTACTGGCTGCTGAAAATTCAGCTTTGAATGACAGGAATTAAAAATTAAAAATATATTAAATATAGAAAATAGTTATTTTAAATTGTAATTATTTTAAAGGGATAGTTCACCCAAAAATGAAAATTAGTCCATTATTTACTCACCCTCAAGCCATCCTAGGCGTATATGACTTCCATCTTTCAGATTAATTAAATCGGAGTTATATTAAAAATTGACTTTGATCTTTCAAGCTGTTTAATGGCAGTCAGCGGGTGTTGCAGTGCATCAGTCCAA